TTCCGATCGTTCAAGATCTTTCTCCAATGCATTTTTCTCCTCTTTCGCAGAAGCAAGCTCTTGAAGTGTCACTTCCATCTCATTTGAGAGATTGCTCACCTGCAATCTTACCTGCATATCTTCTCCTAGAACTTCTTGACAAAGCGACAATTCCTGATCTCTCACATAAAGGAGACTTTGAATTGTTTCAAACACTTCTTCATTGACACATGAACTGTCACCAGAGTCCCTGTATCGTTCTCCGATCTTATCAAAGGATTTATGAACAAGCATATCTGTAGAAGTATTATGCTCATCCCCTTCTACCGTCAAGCCAGATATTTCCACCAGCTTCCTCACAATTTCATCCTTCTCCAAAGACACTCGATGAATATTTCCCTCCATCTCATTCAATCTGGAAGCCATGTCATCCAGTTCCATTCTGACTTTATCTTTCTCCTGTATTTCAGAAGAAAGTGAAGTGCTTAAGCTTTCAATTCGATGTTCCAGCTGGCTAACTTCAGCCTTTGCTTGGAAAAAGGACTCCCTTATACAATCAAAGCGGGTTTCTAAATTGGACTCAGATTTCTCTTCCGGTAGGTCAATTTGAAGAATGGCATCTTTCAGCCTGTTGTACTCCTGAGAAACATCTCTCAGCTCTTCCCTCTCTCCCGCAAGCCACCTAATTTTGTCGACGATATCTACAGATTGAAATTCCTCGGGTATATCAATCTGTGACAAGATTGCTTCAAAATTTTCAATGACAGTGCTCCTTTGTGACAGCATTTCCTGATAGGATGCAACCAAAGCTTCAGATTTCACCATTTCTCCTTTGCTGATTTCAGATGCATCCAATGCAGTTGACATCTCTTGCACTTTCATCAAGCACTCCTCAAGCTCTTTTGTTTTCTCGGCCAGAGACTGCTCCAACTCTTTCTTTGTCAACTCATATGCCTCGAAGGATATGTACTTCTCGTGCAATTCACTCGAGCATTTCTCAAGCTCGTCCATCTTTTCTGCCAACAATTGTTCCAGCTGCCCCTTCATCAATTCAGAAGTATCAAGGGCATTCTTCTTCTCTTGTAACTCGGTCAATCTGTTTTCGAGCTCTGTTGTTTTTTCTAATAAAGAGTGCTTCAGGGCATCTCGCTGCTGAACTAATGCCTTACCCTTTGTCACAGCCATGCTGAGCTTTTCTTTGGTGTTAGCATATCTTGTCTTTTCTTGTTCAAGATCTGCCTTTACTTTTCCAAATTCCGTATTGACGGACTCCATCATTTCTCTATCTTTGGTAACTTGTTCAGCCAACTTCCTATTTTCATCTTCCAGATGGCTAAGTTTGTCAAAAAGTACTGTTTCTTTTTGTTTGAGCTCAAATAACTCGGAACAAGCAGCACCAAGAACCGAACCAAAGTCTTCTTGCATGCTAATGTCAGATTCATCCCTAGATAAACACTTCTTTAATTGATCGATGCCATAGTAAAACTCAGAATACTTTGCACTTAACAAGGAAATATGATACTCAGCATGAGTAAGTTTTTCAGAGACAGAACCATACTGCACCTCCTCCTGACCAAACACGGACGAAAGAGAGAGCAATATCCTATCTGCCATGGCATCAACTTGCTCATTTCTCTCCCGGTATCCAACTTCTGCAGCTGAAGCAATATCAAGTGAAGTAGAAAGCTCTGAAATCTTTGCAGTGAGATCTGCAATCTCATGGTCCTTTTCATTAACGATCCCCTGTAGCTCCTTGGTGGCATTGTCATGCTGAACACGCTCTTCCTTCACAGTTTCCAGAAACTTTGAGAACTGACCGACAATGTCATCGCTCTTCCTTCACAGTTTCCAGAAACTTTGAGAACTGACCGACAATGTCATGCAAGGAAGATCCGACCACAATGTTCCCGTCTTGAGATATGCTCTCACCGGTCAACAACTTAAGCTGCTCATGAAGCCCGACAAGCTCCATATCCAAGGCCTCTCTTTCATTCTGTACGTAGAACAAACAAAGGAAAAAGATTAGAAGGAGAGATTTGGAAGAAGAAATTCAAGTCCATGTTCAAGCAGAGACAGATCCAAGACCTTGGATTCATCAACTCCAAGTCCTCCATTGTCATCATCGGCTTTTGTCACTGATTCCTTACTGGGCGTCTCAAAATTCAACTCTTCCGGAGCATCAACAAACATATCATCCTTACTGTCGACAAAAGGCGTTTCCTACAAACACTTGCCAGTTTCAGAACAGGACAAAGATCCCCAAGCACACGATGCTTGCAATCCCATGAACTAAACAGACAGACCAAAACGAGATTTACGCAACGTAAATCCCCAAATCACGAAAGATTTCGTACCTGGTCGGTATCAACGTCAGGCCCATTTGACTCGTCTCCAATCCCAATTCCACCAGCTACAGAATCACCCGAGCCCAGCGGAGGATCATCATGCTCGTCCATTTTCCCTGATCATAACACTGTCCAGAATCCCAAACAGATCCGTCCCAGAACCGATAACGAGAGGAAGGATGTCAATGGTCAAAAAATGCGCAATCGAAAACGCAGCCCTAGAAAACGACGGGCAACAATTAACGAAGAAGAAGCGAAGATAACGATTCCGACGAAAGTGCTGATCGAAATGGAGCTCGGGAGCTTCGGAAAAAATGCTTCAACCGGAGATCTGCGACCAGATTAACGAGGTTGCTGGATTCGCTGCCGGAAAGAGGAAAAACGTTGGAGAACGCGATGCGTTTTGTTAATTGCATTTATTTATTATTTATTAATTAATTAATATATAATTATGTCGTTTTATTCATTTTCTTTGGATGTAAATGTTGGTGATGTGTTCCGTCCAATAGAAACGCTACAAACGCAGCACACGTGAACCGGAAAGCAATTGAAAACCAACACGACGTCGTTTTCTGTATCCTTCAAATGTGAGCGTTTTGGTTATCTTCGGTTCTATAAGAATTGTAATAAATTAGAAACCAAATATTAACCGATTCGATTTTAATTTGGTTCGATTTGGAATGGTTTTGTTATATAGTACCAAACAAGGAGCGAAATTTGATATTCACAATTATATTGTAAATGAGGATAAATAATTCGGATTTTGATTCGATATTTATCGAATTCAAGAACGATATATTCGAGTCTACAAAAATTATACTAAATTAGAACTGAATATTATTCGATCAGATACACTTTGGAATTTGATATTCACGCATATCTTCATAAATGAGATGAATAATTAAGATTTTGATACACTATTTCTCGAAATTAGAAACAATTTATTAATTCTATGAAAATTACACCAAATTTAAACCGAGTATTATTCAATTTGATATTCACGCATATCTTCATAAATGAGGTGAATAATTCGCTATTTATCGAAATTAGAAACAATTTATTAATTCTATGAAAATTACGTCGAATTTAAACCGAATAACTAAATAACCGAACCAATAACCGAACCAAAATATCCACGCCTACTAAAATTTAAACCGAATATTATTTGGTTCAATTCCAAAAGACTGTTGCCGCATCACAATTCCACGTCATCATGAACGGATATGAAAACCTTGAAAACAACCTCCTGAAACTTGGGAACACGAAAAGAACATGAACTGGATGAACATCATCATCATCTAACAAGAGAGCTTAACAAATTTCTGATCATAAATTTTTTCAGACAAGTGTTGAAAACAGAGACATGTGATGATCTTCCATGAATCTAACAACAAGAAGAAAACACCTCTGCAACACCAGACAAGAAGACTCTTTCTGTACATTTTCTGAAAGCTCTGGGAGATTTTTTTTTCTTTCCTCCCAAAATCTATCTAAATCTATACACAGATCGAAGAAGACGATGATGATATGATCTGATCCATCTTCTTCACCTTTTAATCATATCAAGTACTCGTAGTAAACTAAGAACAGCACATCGGGATAATCCTTCGGAAGGCTGTTGATGTAAAGATAGAAGCGAAGCAAATCCTCTCTCGTTGCTGTCTCCGCATCCACGACGTCGTCTTCGCCCGTCAGTACCCATAAATCCTCGGAGTTTACTCTCTTTATGCTGCCCCGACAGAACGGGCAGGACTCTGATTTCGTGTTCCTGAAAGGCGATGACGAATAACACGAGAATAAGCGGGTGAATCTCGTACAAGAAAAGATTCATACTTTCTAAGAATGCAAGGTCAAAAAGGTAACGGCTTTGGCCTAACCATCGGAAAACCCATTTCAGTTCATGGGAATATGATTCTGAATTGTGAATTACAGTTAGAAATGTGTGTTAGAACTTGACAGCCATCTGAACTAACTGAGGAATGGATCATGAGAACATACAACTAGGATATGATTCTCGATTGCGAATTCGAAAAACATAAGTGTTGCTTACGGTTAGCAATGTGTGTCGGGACTTAGCAGCCATCTGAACTAACAGTTTTTTGAACTTTCTTGAGATTTGATGATATGGGTTTGTGTTTGTTGCAGTTAGCAATGTGTGTTTGGACTTAGCAGCCATCAGAACTAACCGATTTATGTACTTTATCGAGAATTGACGATACGGGTTTAGGGTTTAAGGAGAAGGGAAGGCATTCTAGAACGAACCAGTTGCGGTAGCATTTGATGCACATTGCATGACAGCAGTTGGGCAAGACCATTTTGGTGCAGGGCTCTAAGCAAATCCCGCATTCGTCTTCTCTTTCCAAGTCAATACTGCTGAATCTTCCACCCTCCTCCTTGTCGAATCTCATCTTGGCCAGGGCTTTCGCATCATCACCCCGCCATTGGCCGGGAAACTCAGCAAAGTTGCTGTGAAGACGTTGAAGAGACGGTAATATCACTCCTGCAATTAGCAAAGAGCCCCCGTTTCACATATGAAATCCCGATATGGCGATGCAGAAACAGGCAACGGAAACACTTTATACCGTAGAATTCCCTAATCGTAGCCTTCCTTCCATGGGTGGGAAGCCTCCATTGCCCATCAGAGTATACCTGCACACAAAAAATGAACAACGAACAGATAAAACAAGAGAATTTGAGATTCGGGCTCGAGTGGAGTAAAAAGCCGAGAAAAACAAAGTTGAACCTTGTAAACGAGTATATGGAAGAAGTCTAGATATCGAGGCAGGAGGCACGAGCAGTCCGTCCATTGCAGCAGAAAGAGAAAGAGAGAAGCAAAGTTGCTGCAGACCAGTTTCATCCGGAGACGAGCCCCGGTTTTTCCCATCGGAATCTCTGCCGCTCTGGAAATCATTCATGAACGAATATTGGGATCGATTTGTAAACTAAAATATCGACAAAAATATACATCTAAAGACGGGCATTTCTGTCTGGATATCAACCAGAAGACACAAAAAACAGCCTAATAAACATCCATGTACAGACTGAGCAAGACATCATCCATTTGCTTCAGGCATCGATGTACAAGTAACATAAGCGTAACGAACACTCTATCCAAGCCATGAATCAACCATGGACATACAAAAATTTGTGCTTTTTGTCGATTAATTCACCAAAAATGGAGCCTTATTCGCAATATCGGAGTCTGTGAATGCAACTGGCAACTCGGAAATGTCATAGCTTTTTCTGTACAGATTAAAACGCAGCAATTGAACAGTGCACAAAAGAAAATCCCTAAATGGGTATCCAACCAATTCCTCGTTTTTCGATCATCAGAGAGCATAAAGCAACCCATCACGGAGATCATGGCCGATAATGATCAAAACCCTAAACCCCACAAAAAGGTCTTACAGACCGTAACCAGACCGGAGATAGCCAAGAACAGAACAAGCCAGAAAGATTGAAACGAACCCAATTAGGACCTGACGATCAAAAACCGAGATAGTTAAAAAAAAAAAAGAACAAAACTTACAGTCCATTTGCGTGCTCTATGTCAACCTCCAGAATCTTCAACCAGTCCTGGTAGGAAGACGCGGTCAACTGATAGAACATCTCTCTCTCTCTCTGTTCCGATGAAGACCACAGAAGATGAAAAAGCAAACGAAACCAGAACAGGAAAGCAACCCAAACCCAAGTTTGATCCCCTCAGACAAACCCTAACCCAGAAACCAGAAAGATGAAAAAAGAAACAGAGAGGGTTGGTTTCGATTCTCCTCCTCGTGCCCCTTGGCCTTCTCCTTTTAAAAAAAAGGCGACTTTTTGGCTCTGATATTATTTTGCGGCCAGAGAGATTTGCCCCGTGAACTTTAAATATTAAACACTTTCTTTTTTTAATTTACCTTCTCCAATTTATTTCTTCTTTTCTTGATTCTCAAGACAGAGAAAACAAAAGTGGGATTGGATGATTATCCGTGTCTGGATGATGCAATAATATTCTAATGTAGACTTGTCCTTATCTAAAATCGCATGCTTTTTTTGTTGGCATTAACTGTAATATATACATATATATATCTGTAACAAAGAATTTAATAAACATGAGCTGTGACAACCACATTATTTTCCAAATTGTATTATGCTAATGTATTATAAATTTATAAATGGAATATCTTGCAACCCCCATGCATTATTCTGAGATTCATCTAACGTTTTTCTCTATCTCTACCACTTAAAACGGTATTATATCAAAAATATCCTTATTTTGTTATTTTTATTTCAACACATACTTTTTTTCAACTGTGACTATGTGATTCATGTGACCCAGAATATAGTGTGGTCACATTTTGATTTTATTGATTATAACGTTAAATTTATAATGATCTCACTAATTCATTATATTTATATATTGTATATCTTACTAATTATTTGATTAAAACATCATAAATTTAACGTTATGAGTAATTAGATCAACATGTGACCACACTATATTTCGGATTATATGGTTACAACTGGAAAAGTGTATATGTTGAAATATAAATAGCAAAGTAAGGGAATTGATGAGAGAATTAGCATTTATTTTTAGAGAGGCAACAAAATCCTCTAATTTTCTTTTGTAAGTAAGTAGTTATTTGTTTAGATCATATTTTATTGTGCATAGACTGTTAAAAAAAATGGGTTGTGATGTAATTAAAAGGTGATAAAATATGAGTGAAAAATATATATATAAAGTTTAATGTTTAATAAGTTGAGGAATTTTGTGTATACTTCATACAAATTTTAAAAGAGAAAATGATCAAATATTATATAAACCAATCTAGTCACCAAAACATCATTTGTTTTGAAGTAGGTAAAGTTTAAAAACATTTTGCTGTTTTTTTTAAATAATAATAAAATAAATAAATTCGATCCATATATTTGATTTTTTATCGACATCAAAATTTCCACATATTAAATTAAAATAACTACTTTGGTAAGAGATTCTTTTGTGAACAATGTAGTCACCAAAACATCATTTTTTTCAGAAGTAGGTAAAGATTTTTTTTTTTAAACACTCTCTCTTTTTTATAAAAAAAAAAAAATAGTTATAGAATATTATTTTTTATAAAAAAAATTATTACTTAATTAATAAAATGTACTCAATCTGAAGTCTTTGTACAATTTTTTATCCTAATCAATTAAATGAAATTTAAACCGTGTAATAAAAAATGTACATAATAACATTTCAATATCTTATACGTTTTCCATTGGTTATTTGCTAATTAATATATTGTTAATTAACTAATCGATACGTAATCTTTTGAACGGTGACTCGGATTGCCTAGAGATACGTACGTAGCTTGCAACTCTAAGGGTTGAGATTTTAAACTAAGATTTAATTTGAATAGCTTGCCGTTTTAAATAATAGAAACTTGTTCACATAAAACAATAAAACTAATCCAATATAAATATAAAAAATATATATAAACAAATTATGAATTGTAAACCTTTCTTTTCCATTGCATTTTGAATTTTGTTTCACAATTTCTAACGAATAAATGCAAGCCAAACAACTCAAACTATAAAGATGTAAATTACACTTTATGAATAAAATTACATACAAAATTTGAATAATATATATAAGGAAATGAGATATATTCATGACGATAATTGTACCAAACGCATAATCATGCAGGCGATTTTCATTTGCCACATTAACTTAAAAAAGAAAGTTTACTAATTTTATAAACTGCACAACGAACATTTGAATATTGATAGTATTAATCTATTATGTGTTTGTAAACAAATAATAAATAGAAGTAGATGAAAGTGACAGACTATAAAAAAATTTATATAATATAAAAAAATATATTAATGTAATTTTTTTAATTAGAATTTTTATTACATATTATTTTTATATTAATAAAATGCAATGATAATGTCAAGTGTCTTACATTTAATGACCTTCCTAATCATCTCCTAATTTTCAATCCAAGAATTGCATTTAGGTTTGTACCTAATTAATTAATTGACTTCGGAAAGGAATCTATATATGAGTCTATGACAAAGTATGCAAAAAGATAAACAAAACCATATTAATCAATAATCATTGAGTTTTATTTTTTTTTTAAAAAAAAATTCTCAGCCAATAGTTTTGTTTTTTCATCAAAGAATAATAAGATAAATTAATTCAATTAGTCTATTAATTAATCAAATCATTAATGACTATAGAAGTATAATTGAACACGTATTATTTATTTAATCCGAGGGTTAAGGAATTGTCAAAAAAAAAAAAGTTAATATTGGTGGCTAAGGACCACCACCAACTCCAACTACTACATTATGATTATGATGTTTCGAAATAATACCAACTTGTATAATTTATTTTATTTTATTTTATTTTTTCTTTGACAACTTGCCTTGATCAAATTCAAAAAGCAGACTTCCAAAAAAAAATTAAAATTAAAATTAATAAAACAGAAAAATCCTATCCAAATGATTCTCTCTCTCTCTCTCTCTCTCTCTCTCTCTCTCTCGCGATGGAGGTTTGGGCTTTGTAGACCCTAAAATCAATTTGGTCAAACATCAAATTAGATAAACATTATCACGTTCATTTATTGCAATTGTTTTTCTTTTGTGTGTATGATAATTTTCATATTAATTTACAAAAGCTATTTATTTCCAAAATTTTGTTAGCAGGTGTATTAAAATACAATATAAAGTTTGTGTGGATATTTTTTTTCTAATATATAAAATCGAATCAAATTGGATTGAACAATATATAATGGTAGTCGAATTTAATATAAAATAAATTAAATATATATATTTTTAAAATCAATGTAATCAATTTTAGAATCGAAACAAAAATAAAAATAAATAAAAAGATTTTTTAAAAATAAAAGATATAATAATTTTTATTATTCTGTATTTTTACAATGCGTTGCAAAACGCTAAGATTAAATTGGGGAAATTTCTGGTATGATTTGATTTTAACGTATTTTATTGTAATTAACGTAAAACACTAAAACGATAGGATAATTTATATATTAGAAAACACTTTTATCTCGCGACAATGATATGATAATTTACATTATTTACTGTTACTGTTAATTTTGATATTTATATTATTTTCATATATTCCTCATCGCACCACCGTTTTTTTGTTCCTTTTTTTTTTGTTGCTTTCTGGTGTTTAGATTCAGAGGAAGACAGAACAGAACTGAACAGAACAGAGAGATAAACATTCCACTACAGTGGCAGTTCGAATACACTAAAAACCAGACAAGATTTATACATTAAGTGATGTACGGACACTGAAACACACACACTCTCTCACCTGGCGGCTGGAACTAAGCTGTGTTTGGAGATGTCGGGGCTCTCCATCTCAAGAAAGCTCGTCAGCAACGTCTTCCTCGACGAAGATTTCGCCTTCGAAGAAGACGAAGACGACGAAGATTTCCCTCCGTCTCCTCCTCTTTCGATCCTGATCGCGTCCTGTATCGCCATTATCACTTCCTGCATTCTCGGCCTGCAACTCCCTCTCTGCTCCACGCACTGGTTCGCCACTTCCGCTATCCTCCACACCGATTCGATCTTTACGTTCCCGACAAGATGTTGATCTATTATGCTCCACACGTCCCCTTTACGGATCAACGATCTTGCCTGACGAAGAACACGAGGGGAAACAGGTGAGTTCTTGCTTGTGGTTGATGGTGGAAAAGATGCAAACTTTTGGATTATCCGAAGTTTTCGAGGCATACCCAGTGAACTATGTTGAGCTCGGGGCCGAAATCTTCGACCGAGATGGGTTTCTTTCCGGATATTAGTTCAAACAGAACAACCCCGAAACTGTACACATCGCTCTTCTCGGTTAGTTGCTGGCTGGCGTAGTACCTGTGGAGATATATCTATTAGTTTCAAGATTCATTGAGACAGAAGTTATTTTTTTCCCGGGTTTCTATTAGGCAAATAACCATGCGTTTTGGCTTACTCGGGATCAAGGTATCCGACAGTTCCTCTCGCCACGCTCGATACATGAGTTAAGTCTTCCTCCGCTTGCCTCGAAAGCCCAAAGTCGGACACTTTCGCTCTCATGTTGATGTCGAGGAGAATATTGCTTGATTTGACATCACGGTGAATGATACTTGGATTGCATCCGGTATGCAAGTATTCCAGACCTGTAAAAAAATCCGAATTTCCGTCCGTACTATGGATCTGAAGCACATATACATTCAAATCTTGAATCTTTCAACATCTAACCTTTGGCTGCATCTTCTGCAATTTGTAACCGAGTTAACCAGTCCAATGGCTTGTAGTCACCTGATCCTGTCATGATTCCATAAGTCTTGGTCATCATGGAAACAGGGAGAAACCCAGAAAATGGAGGAAAAGGAAAAATATTTCGGGCGAAAGGAAAACCGTGCAAATGATCTCTCAAGGTTCCATTATGCATATACTCATAAACCAGTAAACGTCGATCAGATTCTTCACAGTATCCAATCAGAGGAACCAGGTTCCTGTGATGAATTCTGGATAACAGGGCAACCTGCAAGAATGTCCCCAATCGAATTCAGACAGAACCAAGAACTACATGTCAAGTAAGTTAACGACAGAGGATGGCCAAGCAATCTACCTCGGTCACAAATTGCCTGTTCAAGTGGCTAGATGGATCTGCTGTTATCTTAACTGCGATTTCTTTCCCGTCTTTCATTTTGCCATGGTAGACAGAACCGAAGCTTCCTTTCCCAACTCTCTTGGAGAAATTGTTAGTGGCTTCTTCGAGCAATGGAAGCGAGATAAAATATGCGACACCTTCATCCAGTAAGTGTCCGCCTCGCACAGATAAATAAGCTACCGAACATTTGGTTTTATTCTCAGAGGAATCACCTGCCGAAACATGAATATAAGTGAGTTCATGGACTTCAAGGATAGACATAGAACAAGTTATTTAGCTTAAAAAACCAAACCATAGGTACCTTTATCACCTGTCCTCATCTTTCGGAGATAACAAAATAAAACAAGACTTCCTACAACTAGCAGTAATATAATTACAATAACGGTTATTAATATCCCCAGTATCAGCCTCAAGTGTTTTCTCTGTGTCTCTTTCTGCAGTTGAGGGTTATTTTCGTATCTGCAGAAGTAAAAGTTAATCGAAATCTCGTAAGCTTATGATTTCACTTCCTTTATATATAGAGATACAAGTTGAAAGTGACAAAATGCTGAACTGGTGAAAAAGGGGGGGGGGGGGGAATTCTTCAGAATACTTCAGTGTAAACAAGAAAGAGCTTCAAAGTTTCAAGCTTCACCAACTTGAAGCATACTCACCGGAATTCTACTCTGCCCTTCAACAATGCTGGGGGTATTGTCCCGCTGAACGAGTTATTTTCTATGAACCTGAACAATAATTCCATTTATGAAAATTTTAAAGGATATAGTATAAGTCATTGAACTCGAAGCAGCAATATAAACGAATCTTTGTAGCAATCACAGTGCTTCAGAAGATTGAGATACATACAGTTCTTGTAGGTTAGGCAAATGGCTGAGGTATGATGGGAGTGATCCATTAAGCTGGTTATTTTCTAGATGTCTTCACAGAGATTGAAGAAAGAGAAGAAAAGCATTATGTTATAAAGGTGATTCAGGGTTAAAAAGAAAGCAGACATCACATTTGCAAAGTCTTGGTGCTTACACAATTTTCAGGTTGATAAGGTTGCTCATATCTGGTAGGATTCCGGTCAAGACAGCGCGGAGAGAGGGGGGGGGGGGGTGAAGGGAGAATATGCAACATACAACCACTTACAGCTCTGTCAATGCCTCCATGTTGTTGATCTCTGGTGGAATCTCGCCCCTCAGATTCTTTCTCGATAAAACACTGTTTCAATGGCCAATTGTAAGGATGCAAACAATGTGTCTTTCGTGTCATTTGCTGTCATCATAACAAAAACACTGCATAAACTGAGTTTACACAATGCCAAACCTTGTTTTATAGATCTTACATTTTCGTTACTCTCGGTGGTGAGGTTGAGCTACAGTTTATCCACGACCACTGAACTGGAATACAAGGATCTCCCCCTTCATTCGCCCAATCGCTTCCAGGGGCCAACGAGCGAATTGCATGAAGAACAGTCACTGCCAGATAAGAACACATACATGAGCCCTTAGGAAAATGCTTATGAAAGAAAAAGTTTGAAGACAAGAACCCTTTGCACTCACCATCAGTCCTGTCGGTTTTTTCAGAAATTTGCAGATATTTGCTTATCTCGATTGCATTTAGGATTGGCCCTCGTGAAGAATCCTTAGTCTTCTCAAAGGAGAATGACAGAACAAAATCTAGAGTCACGTTCATGTAGCTCGGTTCATAGAGAGTGTAGCTTCCATTAGCATTCTCAGCAATATTCACCACTGCATTACTATAGTCGGGGAAGTACGGTTGTGCCAATTTGAATTTCCGTGTTTCATTAGGTCCTAGATCTTCGATCTCAGCAAAGTAAGCATAAGCTCGAGCGTTGGCAGGGAAATCTTCCAGGTTCAACCTATAGCTGAGCACTCCTTGTGTGCCAACTACTGCTGTTTGCATCACTTTCACAGGTGGATACTCTCTCGTCATCGTATTTATACTCTTTGACGTCTTGATTCTTGTAGTTCCAGGAGCAACTCCTACTAGATAGTTTGGCCTTCTATCGATATCCGATTCCCAGATTCTGTCATACGGATCATCTGGGTACCTAAAAGAAGAGACCTTTTCAGCATTTTCACTTATTCTTCAGACAAGAATGCATTAAGATGGATATTCATTTATACTAATGTCTGACAATATGGAAAAAAGACATTCTTTGGAGGGAGTTTTACCTCAAGGCATCCATGTTTGGAGCACCAAAATTCACTCTTGCCGCAACCTTCAAGAAGAAATCATCTTCATAATCTGTAGCATACATTGACAGATTCAAAGGCCGAAGCTCGAGAGTCGAGATGAAAGGAGAGCCGGTGATTGCACAACACACACACACATCCACGGAATCGGAAGGAGCCCTTATGATCAGTTCCTTTACATAAACCCTCGAAACTTCCTGAATCATCACTGTTGCCCATTTAGTTGCATCTAAGTAGAGTTGGAATTTCGGGTATGCGTCCTCACCCCCCGAACTTCCATACAGAAACGTTGCTCTAGCAATGTACCGCCTTCTCTCTTTAGTGCTCAGCCTGTAACAGTATTTCTTGTTGTCCGTTGGAAAATCTCTTCTCCTCCGGTATTGCATTGAGCTCCCGTCCGAACTATCCACAGTTACCGGTTTCCCCAGTTTCATGATCTCTGTGTCTGAAACCCATCCCAATCCAGTTCTTGGGTCTGTGTAGTTACTTGAGCCACCGCAGTCTATACTTACAAACTCTGCATATACATATACATACACACACATAGCCATTCATCAATTATTCATCCACCCACTTCCAATAAAAGAACAAAGCTCCAATTTTTCAGTACTTCCTTACACCCCATTCCACATTTCACGACAAAGACAGTTTTCCATTGCCCGGACATGCCATGCTTTTGTTCAAGGCTTAAACCCGAGTAAGTTACCCAAAAAACAGAAAAAAAATGGAGAATTTTCAGCAATCTATAAGACTTAGCCGACACGAAGGCCATACAAGAAAATCGAAATCTATGCAAAGTAGCAAAAATTTCAAGAAAATTCCAAAATCTCTATGACAAAACAGAGTGAGAAAAAAGGTACAGAGGAAACTCTCTCTCGGGCATTTACACAAACAGGTTACCGAGAAAACGAACCTGCGACCTGGGAAAGTACAGATGGTACTATGAACAAGAATGCTATCGCCACTGAAACTGAAGACAAACCCATTGAAGTTGTCTCTCACACACACATCGATACTCTCAATTTTTTTTAATATATGAAAAGAAAAGAAAAACTTTTTGGGATTGAAGGGTTAGGAGATGGAGAGAATTTTGTGGGCTAAGAATACAATGAGCAAAGAATCAAACTGGAATTCTCTACAATGGTTTTTCACCGAGGATTTGTCTTTCTCCATTTCATTTTCGGAATATATCTTTTTAATATTTCCTTCTTTTTCTTCATTCCGAGAAATAAAGTTCTCTCCTTTGGCTTCTTTGCTTTTGTAAAAGCAGTGTCACTCACAAGCTCCGGAAACTTTATCTACGTATGTACATACGTATGCATATACGTATCTCCTCCGTATGTACATACACACGTATACTCATGAACCCGTATACGTAAATACACACTTGTGTGGGACCATGAGAAGTAGAAAGCAAATTCCAATTCTGAAGTATTATAGTCGATTAGAGTACCTTAATTACTTGGTTCTTTAAATTTTTTTTTATTTTCGGATTTTAAAAGAGAATTTGTCAACAAAATCTCCTTTTTTTAGTGTTTTTGGTCCAATTATTAATCTCCTATTCTCTCCCTCTTTTTCTTTTTTATATTTTCCTTAATATTTGACAAAACCATGGAAAATTACGAGTTCGGACAAAATATTTGGCGTCCGACCAAATCTTGTTTTTAGTCTCGTGAACAAAAAACCGCACTTTAGCCACAATCAAAGTCCGGTTTCACGTCCGCATAAAATGAATTTTGAAAAAAGAAAAAGCTTTTGATTAATTTTTAATTAATATACTTTTATCAAAATAAAATTTTAATTAATATAGCATTAGATTAATTATACTAAATAACGTATCACGCAATTACAAAATTTTATGGGACCCACACGGAGAACACAAGGGACGCGGTTGCGGTTTAGAGTGTCAGTTCCAGTGTAAGCTGCCACGTGGCATTATTCTACTCCTTAAAATTATTTCTTTTCATTAATGGGCCCATGTTCAAAGCTGTACCAACCACATCTTTCCTCATTTTTGGGCCCATTATGAATCTGTTTTTAAGTTTTCATCAGAGGCCCAACATTGTATTTTTTTTATTATTAAAAAATATTTTTTTTATCAGAATTTCCGAAAGAGTTCAAAACCAAGATTTTATAATTTTTTTTTCACAAAATTACAAAAGTTAAATATAAGGAATTTTGGATAAATGTGTATATTACTACTTATAATCGACCGTTTATGGCTCAGACGGAAATCTCCATATCTATGGGGGTGTTGAAATCTGATTTCTAATTTGATTTAATAAATAACTATACATATAATAGGTTAAATCCTAAAAAATACCTCAACTTTTCAATTTTTTTTTTAAAAAATCTGAATTCTATCTTTGGAAAAATCTGAAGGACCTCCAAACATGGCGGGTTTTTCGTGATTTGGATCCCACTCAAGAAGAAATTGTCACATTTTCCATGTTATACCAAAGTCTTTGATATAAAGATGAATATGGGCATGTGGATCTGTAAAAAAAAAAACACTTTCTTGGATGAAAATTTGTAAAGGCTCTTCCCTTTTCAACACATGTGCAGAAACACCACAGATTCTTTCGGTTATATATTACAAGGAAATGTACTAAAGAAAACTGCACACAGAATAAAACATCTGATTGTGTCCCGTGAATATCTCCGGCCGTGAGTCTACGTCCCGGAACAGCAAAAATGGCTGATCGATCCTCGGGTTTTCAGCCTCATGCCCTGGAGAACACGATGATAGAATCAACGTTATATACCTCGATGAAGGAGGCGAGGTTTAATGTTCTGGTTCTCGACCATACTTACTTGGCTTTCTCCTCCGGGCTTTCTTCAGTGTCTCCATCGGCACCAGAGTTCAATGCTGTCAACTTCCCAAACGATTCTTTAGCGTCCCCGAAAAAGTCTTTCACTTTATCAACCACTGTCTTAAGCTTGTCTTGTGTCGGGAGCTGAGCCAATGAAGAAAGACGAATCCATGTTAACAGTCATTGAAACTCAAAAGGGTTGAACCTCAAAGGGATTTGTAATGAAATGATCACCTCGATGACATCTGTGGTGGTTAGTGCAGCTCTCACATTGCCATTTTCCTGGATGTATTTTGCAGGAAGACCAGTTAAGTACTGAACAAAATTCAACAGAAACACCAAAAGAACTCGGTAGAAAGTTTGTCAGGGAATTACGACAAGCTTGTAACCATATCGGAACTCTGTAGCATTTCGTAAAACACGAAACTGCTTGAATGCCGTCTTTTGTATCTCCTTCTCGTCCTATTCGAAGGAGGGCATCGCAAGAATCGGGCATCACGTTAGAGACAAAATCCAGGACGATATCGTATGGAAATAATTTCTCATCCTTGTGATACTCACTTTGTAAATAACAGCTGCAAGGTTTCTGGCAATGGTGTCTTTGTAGATATACTTCCCCAATAAGTTGTCTTTCGCAGCGACCATGATCTTGGCGGTGGTACCACCGGTTATTATGCTGAGAGGGTACCAAAGATACACCTGTTCATGTCATAAACACTGGTTAGATGTCAAAGGGTCGTTGTTTAAAAATGGGTTTTGAGTATTGATTTGTTCAGCCGGGCAATAGTGAAGAAGTTGAATCCAGCTGATAATGCTGCAAACTTCCTAAATCGAAACAGAGCAATCGTTCCACATTACTCCATTAAGCTTGTAAATCCAATAAAGTAAAAGGCTCGGCTTTTCTATTGATTCCGAGAGAAACCAGACGAATTTCACGGAGATAAACCTCCAAGCCCCAAGCAACCAAAGAAAAACTGCAACCCAGTAACCAAAAACCTAACTGGGGAGAGAGAGAGATGTAAAAGGGTCATTGTTTGTTAACAAATTGGTTTCTGAGTATTGATCTAACAAATGAACTGAGAGCTGGAGGACACAGAGTCTAGGGCCATTGTTAACAAATGGGTTTTGAGTATTGAATTGTTCAGTCGAGCAACCACTGAAGAAGTTGAATATAAAGCTGCAACCCAGTAACCAAACAGCTAACTGGAGAGAGAGAGAGAGAGAGACGAACATTGGCCATGCGGATGAAGATGACGAAACGAGGGTTACCGTCGTCTTCGATCTTCGGCAACGGCGGAGGCGGTGGGCGCTGATACTGACGCGCCGCCATTCCCTTCTTCCCCTTCGCCTCAACCACCAACCCCCTCCGTCGCCGCGGCGCCGCCGAATCCCGGAAGCCAGTTCTCCAGCCCGCCAGACAGTGGTGCTTCACAAACCCGCCACCATCTTCGAGCCTTCCCGAGTTCCTCAGCGGAAGCTGAACCAGTGCGTTCAGAGACATACCCACCTCCATTACCAAACAGAGCTTCGAGCTTTTGCCCTTCCAAATGGAGAAATTTAGGGGACAAGAGATTCGTGGTTGGGATCTTATCCACGACACCGAGGAGAAGCTGAGGAAAGGGGGTAACGTTGGTATTTTATTTTTTTATTTTTTATTTTTTTTGGCTTTCGTTGAATCTGAACCATACACGTGGCAGAGCGTAAGGCGCGGAATTCTCCCCTGATCGAACGGCTCTAAGATCATCAATTCACCCGCGGGTGCAAAACGAACAACGGGTTCGTATCGGTTATGTGATAGTGAAACTTGTAATTTTCTATTTTTTCTAGAATGATATTTTAAATGGATAATAGATTTGTAAATTCACAATATCCAAAATGTATCTTCGAAGGAAAAAAATCTACGATCTTGTGATGATTGGACCACCGAATATTTTTCGATCGACCTAAACCCTAAATATTTTGACTCTTTACGTGTGTATGGAATTCAATATTTCGTAACGTAGGGGAGAACCCCTAGGTGAGTTGGCAACGAGCATGGTCAATATATCGAGAGGTTGGGGGTTCGACTCCTTATCCGTTCACCTATCGTCTGTCAATTACGGCTGATTTATCTCCCGCGCGTATGTTGTAGGCTCGTGCGCGTGAGTTTAGGTTTACTCGGTCAACGCGTCGGAAGGGTAGCAGCCGTGATTCCCAATGTATAAAAAAATATATTTCATAACGTCATCGAAACGGTTGGATTAATTCGGATTCAAAATCCCTAAAAGAACTTCATAATGTACCTTTTTAAACCTCATTTTATGGGATCAGTAAACGGTAGTCACATTAATCATATAATTTTACCGTTGTAATCAGTGTAACTAATATAATCATCATGTAATTTTAACGGTATGATTAGTATTGCCCGGTTTTGAAATAGATCAAGATAGTCATAATCATCACACACAAAATGATATAAAACATATGTTCTAAGTTCATATAGCAAGCAATGATTTGGACGATTTCTGACCAGACATATGTTTTAAAACGAAAACGTGGAATTAGATTTTACGTATTCGTTAAACTTATACGACGCTTGGATTCAGCAGAGCGTATTGGTTAAGCTCGTCGTCTTTCTCCACGGCCGCCATTTCTTCGACCTTCAAGCTCACCCAAACCTCCGTTCCATGTCCGTCTCTCGTGTCCAACATCGCGAACAGCTCTACCTTCGTGTCGAAACTATCCGGAGTCACCCAGATCGGATGTCCGAATCCGAGATCCGTTTCATAGAACCCGGATCTTCCCCAGCTCGTGCTGCTGTATCCATCGATGGCGCCAATGATCTTCCTGTAGAAAAATCCCCCCACGTTTTTTTCGAACTCCTCTGCAATTTTCATGGGTTCCTTCGTACGGAGCTTCTCCGACGCTTTTTCCTTACCTTCCCTCAGTTTTCTCGCTAATTCGTCAATACCCATCTCCGGATCGTCGGTCTCGACGCTGGAAGCGGATATGATGTTTCCGACAGTGTTTTCCGACAGAACAGGGGATATGTTCCTCCGTCTCATGTCGATCGGAAACTGCAACACCGACGGTTTCTTGGCATTTGCAGAGTTCGATCTCTTCGCCTTCAATGCGCATCGCCACATTAGAGCGGTGATGGATTCGAATCTCGTGGGATCTTTCACTTTCTCGCTGGATGCTCTGTTTTTCAGCTGCTTGATCTTCTCTGCTTCGAACACGAACCTCCTCGTCACGAACTCTGGTTCCTTAGTCTCCCCTGTCTCGTCCTTCTCCGGCAAGACGATAGGCTCTTGTCCCGGCGGCGACGGGAATACCCTCGACGCCGTGAAGCCCGGTGCCACCGTGTCTCCACGGCCGTTCGCGGTGGCGGACCAGCCGCGGATGAAGATCGAGAGCGCGGTCGCGTCGGAGACTCTGTGGGAGAGACATATCCCGACCACGAAGCCGCCGCCGCAGGAGAACGACGTCACTTGGACGAGCAACAACGGCCACATCCCGGCTCTCGGTCTCCCGTCGGGGAGGAGACCGATCAGAGATGACGGACTAGGGTTCACCAGAAGATCCGAGAGAGAAGACCCGACACGGGCCTCGATAAAGACAGCTCCTTCATCATTACAGTCGATGACTTTGCCGTTGATTCTGCCCGCGAGAGGGTAAAAGCGGGTCAACGTCTCCGAAAGCGACTTCTTGAGCTTGCCGGAGATATCGCCGATTTCTCCGGCGACGCCATTGATGCGGTAGAAGAGGAGGCCGCCTGTGTAGACCGGAGGGGTCATGACGTCGAAGAAGGAGAGATGGACGGTTCTAAGATGGGGAGGAGTCGGAGAAGACGGCTTAACGGTTTCTCTGGAAAGAATCTCCACCTTCATCGTCTCCGACATGTCTGCTGAAGGGAGAAGCGAAGATCAAAGCGGTGTTTCGAGTTACTGTCTGGTTGTGGAACTCTGCCATTGACAGCTAAATAAAGAGCAGAATCTCCGTGGAACGAGAGGCGGGTAGGTAGGAGGAACGGTTCGGATCCAATTTCAATTATTATACACAATAAATGATATAACCTATGGTGTGCCCATTTCGGTGGGGTTTGAGGTTTCCATGCGTTGTAGGTGGCTTTTAAGACCTCGCCGCCGATCCATACTCATTTAAAACATGGTAAATTGGTTAAAAGTAAATATTCGTAGTCTTTTATCATATTTTACAGCATGTTAAGGAATTTTAACATGGCGTGTTCCAAATCAAACTTGTTCTAATGTTCTGTTCTTCTCGAGATCTCCGTGCATGGGTTCGGTTTCTTCTGTTATAAGTTTTCGACGTGAAGTTTGGGTTACTGAAATCTACAAAACATTTCTTTGTTTAGATTTTGAAGGAACAGAGAGCTGGAGGAAAATGCATGTTTCTTGAGGGAATGGTTGAAGTGTTAGATTGTTATTTGACCCTCAAGAAATTAATGGTTCTAATCTCTATTAGGGCCGAACTTTATTATAAAAAATGTTAAATCACCAAAAAATACACCTGTATTTTTCTCGTGGTGTCAGATTAATACCTATATTTTTTTATTAGTTAAAAAATCCTATTACTTAAAACTGTTAAAAATATACTTGTAATCTGATATTATTAACCAATACATCTCTTTTATGTAACGCCATTATGATTAAATAGAGTTGTATTGGTTAATAATGTCAGATTACAAGTATATTTTTAACAGTTTTAAGTAACCTAGGGTTTTTTCAACTAATAAAAAAGTATAGGTATAAATATTAAAGGAGAGAAAAGTACAAGTATTTTCCGGTGATTTTCCTTTACAAAAATGAAGTTTCATTGGATTTGGTCGATACCCAATTCAAATTAACAACACAAAACCAAAGAACAATGAGCAAATCTTTCAAATCTCGAACTTTGAATAATAAATGTGAATCCAAAATTAAATGAAAAGGTTATGAAGAATGATGGATTTGTCCATAAGATTTGCCACTTGCTTGCTCACTTGGTAAAATGTCATGTAGTCATCATCTCCTCTATATATAATGAATCCAAACATGAAATCTTTCAAAGATCTCAGATTCTTGTTTTCAGTATTTCTGATTTCTCATAAAGTTTACAGCTTTCAAGAAATGGAGTTTCAAGTCTCGGTGATTTCTCGAGAGCTCATCAAACCATCTTCTGCAACACATGATGATGATGGTGATCGTCTCCTTCACCATCTCTCTTTTCTCGATCAGCTCGCTCCTCCCATTTTCATGCCCTTTGTGTTTTTCTACACTAACGGCGAGAATCTCACCAGACAAGAACGGACCGACAGGATCAAGAGATCTTTGTCCGAAACCTTGAACCTGTTTTACCCGCTAGCCGGACGTGTCAGGAACTCGAATGGCTCCTGTTACGTCGAGTGCAACGGCGAGGGAGTGCCGTTCATCGAAGCCAAAGCCGGTATTCGGGCATCGCAGATTCTGGAGAACCCGAATCCGAACGAGCTGAACAAGTTTCTTCCTTTCGAGTTTCACGAAGTGAGTGAGGTCGCTCTCACGGTTCAGGTCACTTCCTTTGAATCCGGCGGTATAGCACTCGGAATAGGGTTCTGCCACAAACTCTGCGACGCCTTCTCCGGCCTCGAGTTCGTAAGAAACTGGGCGGCCATTGCTCGTCGGGACAGCGAAAACGTCGACGCTCCTTGCTTGGATCTTTCCAAGATGTTTCCTCAGTGTGACATGTCGGATTTGGACATGAGTACTGGTATCATGAAGGAGAACATTCTCACCAGACGCTTCGTGTTCTTGAACTCCTCTGTCGAGTCACTGAGGGAGAGATTCAGCGGAGGAAATGTCCGAGCGACCCGAGTTGAGGCCTTATCGGTATTCATATGGAGCCGGTTCATGGCTTCAATTGGTGCAGAGGGAAACCCGGATCGAAACGGGAAGATATATACGATGCTTCATCCTGTGAACCTGCGGAAACAAGCAGAACCCGCGATGCCCGACAACCTTTTCGGGAACCTCATGAGATTTTCGGTAACTGTCCCGAAAATAAGCAGAGACATTGATGATGAAACAGGGTGTTCCATTGTGAAGCAGATGAGGAAGGAGATCAAGAGAATAGACGCAGGGTATGTGAAGAAGCTACAAGAAGATAGACAAGAACACTTGGAGTTTCTGAAGAGACAAGCTTCGGGTTTTGTCAGAGGAGAGATCGTGTCGTTCAGCTTCACTAGCCTCTGCAATTTCCCGTTGTATGAATCGGATTTCGGGTGGGGAAAACCGTCGTGGGTGGCATCTGCAAGAATGAGTTTCAAGAATCTTGTAGCCTTCTTCGACACCAAACAAGGCGACGGAATAGAGGCTTGGATCAATCTGGACGAGGTCGATATGTCGAGATTTGAATCCGATCAGGAGCTCCTAAGTTACGTTTCTTCAGACCCGAGTGTGAATCTCTCTGAAACGCATCGTACTGATCGAGATCATAGCTAAAGTTATCGAAACTAATGTGTTCCGATTCAGTTTCAGTCTCAAAAAGTATCGAAGCTTTAGGTAAGTTACTGTCCTTTTCTTTCTTCAAGATTTCCAGTTGTGTGATATGTTCTGAAGTTGTTTCAAGTGAGTTTAAGTTTTTTTTTTAATCTCAAAGCCTTGGAAATCGCATCAATGGAAGATTCTTAGAGGGTTTACAGATTGATTCCTGCATCATAAAAGGGTAACCAAATCATACGTTCATGGTCATGATTCCACGGGAGGAACAGCCTCAGATTCTTACACAGAACTTGCTGCAATGTCGGAAGATTCTTCAAAGATTCCTTTTTTTCTCATCACTGTAATGGGAGATTTAAGCTTGTGGCACAGAGAAACAGATCACGAATTCACGGAATCACAGTATCCATCCCTTCATGCATGTAATAAGTGTACAGAATCATAAACCAGAAACCCTTTGGAACATTATGAATGCTCGTATGAGTGGCAGCAAAATGTACAAATACATGCAAACTAACCGAAATCAAGACAAGTTTCTTTTCTTCCGATTCTTCTGTTCCGCTCGAATAGATTCCCTACGGATGGACTTCATCTCTGTTGCAGAGCACCGTTCTTGATCAACCAAGCTGCAGTAGTGGAAGAAGCTTTAAGACTTTTGGGGGAAAAGAAAACCCATTCAAGAGCTGCCTTGGATCTCTCCCCCAAACACAGAAAGTTAAAATCCACGAAATGTACAGAGATTTCAGGGAGATTTGGCAGGAACCGGCCGAGGAACGAGAACTGCTTCACTGCTCGAGGCCTTTGTTGCGGCCATATCCTCGAGGCGTTTCCAGGTAGCTTCTCGTTTTCTCTCGGTCTCCTCCGACTTCTCTTCATCTTCACGGAACTTTTGCAAACACTCCTCGAACAACTCCGGGTCGAGGTCAGAAAAGATCTTCCGGACATTAAGTGTCAGGCTCTGGACAACTTGATTCCAGTGACTGCTACTGTTTTTCTCCAAGGACGGAAAGATGATGGGCAGTATTACTTTCCGGTTTTGCCTTATCAGATTCTCGATATGATCGTTATTCCACAGGTAGAGAGCCCTTTCGGCCACCTGCAGGAACATGAATCAGAAAGCCGGGAAAGCAAGAAAAGGTCAACACTTTAAGCATTAGCAACCGAAATCCAGCCAGTCATGGAATGGAAGAAACCGACCTGAAAGTGGGAGCTGCTCAGGCAACGAGAAACTTGTCGGAAGAGAGGTACCATACATCTCTGAAATTCTGGAGGCTGAGTTGCTTCCAGCACTTCCTCGAGCTCGTTGAGAAACATTACTTCCTTTGAACTATTGGTAACGGGCCAATACTTGAGCAAACCCCTTATGACCGTGTCCGAAAGCTTGCAGTCTTTCTCCACAAACTGCGTAATACAGTAAGATAACTGCTGGTGGTACATTGGTAAGCATTTCGGTTTGTGAAGGGGGATCAATGCCCTGACAAGGAAGAGCTTGTGTTCTTCCTTCAATGGCAGAGCAAACCCGTTAATTATGCTGCCGAAAACCTCCAAAAGCTCGGCGATTCCATTATGCTTCTCTGTCTCGAACGTAAACCGGAAGAAAATGTTGTTGACAGATTTTCTGATGAAAGGACGATGAACCATAAACTTTCCGTAGATCCTGTGAAGGATCGTTTTGAGGTACTCTCTCTCCCTTGGATCCTCGGAATCGAAGAGATCCAACAGTTTCGTAACAAAGGAGTGATCTATGAATCTCTTCGCCAGTTTCGCATCTGTCTCGGGAGATGCGACGAATCTTAACAGGAACTCGTATACGATCTGGAGGTGAGGCCAGGCTGGATCCATTGACGGTTCCTCCTCTTCCAGATCGAACCCTTCCACCACTTTATTCTCACGGGGCTGCGGACTGAGTGATCTGAATAGATTTGCGGAAACCATTCTCGCAGCTGATTGCATCACAGTTTCACTGAACTTCCCATTTGCTGAAGTTACATAATCCACGAGCTCAAGCAAAGTCTGCCGCTTCATGTCCTTCTCCTTTCCATTCTTGGTTGGATCAGTGAAATCAAAAACGACAGAACACAAGTTCAGTTTCCTGATAAACAGGTTCGGCCTTTCGGAGGTGGGAACGTCCTTGAACGCGGGCAGAGCTTCGAAAGAAGCCAGAACCAGTTCGCCATTCTGTATCTGGTTCAGGACCTGAGAAGATTTGTTGCCTTGAAACTGACCATGAACCAAATTCGGACCAGACAACGTCATACCATCTGCATTAACCGGTCTGCTACTCGAGATATCATTGTTTCTGGGGCTCGTCAGCTGGTTCGAAGCGCCAAATTCACGATTATCCAAAGCCTTGGACGGCTTCTTAGGAAGCCTATTAAGAATCTTATTGAACATAACGAAATCGCGCAAGGTAAGAGTTCAAATCTTCCAAGCCGAAAGATCTAAACTTTACGAGACGAATTAAGTTTTGAAGCTCTTCAGAAGAGAAACCCACGAAGGATCAGAAAACAAACCCGAAACCCAGGAAGGACATCTTCAACCAAAAGCTCAAAACTTGGGAAACGACAGGGAACGAGCTCGACTCCACAGGAGAGACCCTAGCAGCCATGTCAGTGACGGATCCGACCAGCTGATCCCAGAAATTTCAAAGCTTCACCAGCTCGATCTGAAGAGCAACTGATGCAGGAACTAGAGGAACAACAACTCAATCGAATAGCAAACAATCTCACCGACGCTTAGTCGAGACTAAACCCCAGAAATCTACAGAGACAAGTGGCAGAGGGAAGAAACAGTTGGAACCAATTCGAGTTCAGTCCGAAGAACAGCAACCAAAACACGACCGTAAAGAACTACAGAGGAAGCTCCAGATTCCGTACGAACAAAGGGACGCGAAAACAAAAACAGGAAAAAAAACCCAGATGATTGTAGGAGAGAGAAGGTGGGGAAAAATGGAAGGAAACGGGAATTAGGGTAGGGGGCTCGAGAAGAGGAAGAAGAGGAAAAGGAAGATGATGGGAAGATTTTGGGATTTTTCCTTTTCCCTTTTTTCTTTCTTACACTTTGGTAACTTATCATCACTGACTTTGCATTGGGCCAGTAGTAGTAAGGAGCGATAAAGAAGAACACTTTAGGAGAGTGGAATCCACGCGCTGCTAGAAAAATGGTACATTTACATACTACAAATATCAGAAAATAAAAATCTTTTATTGTTGTTGTTATTATTATTTTCAAGGCAAGAAACAAACTTTTTAAAGGGATGTTTTTTTTTTTTTTTGAGTAAATTCATATCCTTCCTACCATGTTATTTTCCTTTTTCTTTTAAAATAAAAGCTCGAATTTTTTTAATTTATTTATGAAATTTTATAAGTTATTTATTGAGGGACCCACTATAGCTGTATACTTGGGGTACCAACTTGGACCACCTGATAACCGCGTTGGCAAGAAATTAGAACAAAACACAGACCCATTTGTTCGAAATCAAAATCAAATGCCACTTTCTAACATTCTTTACTTTATTATAATCGGATTAAGATATTGTTCGTTCCCTCTAATAATTCATTCTAAAGATCAAAACTTTGACTATCAACGTTATTATAACTTTGACCCAGACCAAAGATTAGTAACGTTCTAAAAAAATATCATTTTTCAGTTATTTTTTTAATTCAATTTTGATTTTTTCGGGTTTAAAGAAGTCATAACGGTTCAGATTTTATATCGAATTCGATTCGGTTACATATCAAATTCGATTCGGTTACATAACCTAAGAGGTCTCTCTCTGTCTTGGTAGCAACAATGAACAGCCAAGGACTTTGAGCAAAAATTTCTCGCATAGAAAGCACAATAAGGAAATACACTGATTGAGGAATACGGCAGATACTAGGAGTTTTCCATAAGGGTTTCGGCCGCAGAGATTGGAAAAAAGGGCCGAGAAACAAGCAGATGATGATTGATGCTATACCTGGAAAAAATCACAGACTGTATTTTACCCGACTTTCGATGAAGGCTCGGGTTGATGGTTCTCTCCCGAGAAAATCGGCTAGAATTTCCAACGCGGGTTTCGCTCCTCCCGGGGACAACACCTTTGTGAAGAAAAGAGAGATAACAATGGAGTTTTAGAGGCGAAAAGCAAATATAACATGGTTACTTTGTTTCCAAAAAAAAAAACTCACTTTGTTCCTGAACTGCATGCCTATATAATGGTTCAAATCACCATCGCCGAATTTTGAAGCATATATATCGGCAGCAACAACCTATAGAGACGTCGATAAATCAGATAAAACCGTGAAAGGCAATCCGCTACACTGATTCAACGAGGCATATCATACATACCTCGCTCCAAATACGGCTGTAACATGTGGCTTCCGAGCC